CCTTTTCCACGTTTTCTAACGCCGTTAATTAGTTATACTGTAGCGATGCCCTTTGGCCTCGGTGTTAAGCGTCCAAGGTAATGGGTTATGTCCCCTGGCAAATAAACATTGAATGGCAGTAATGGGGGCACGTTTGCAAAGGGAACCTACAAAGCACCAACATTTATGGATATATGAATCGAGTTGCGTTTGGTAGTGCAATCAAGTCAAGGTTAAATTACGTATGGAGTTCTTTGATTAGAATTATTTTAAACAGGCTGTACTCTTTTCAATATGCATATGTTCAATTATCTTTGTGTGTATATTTCATATTTATAACATCATATTGGTGTTTACCTTCACAATGGAAGGATTTTTATACGGATCGAAATAACGAATTGGTACATATCAGCCGACATAGATAACCGCTAGATATAGAATTTCACTTTACAGCCAAACAAAGATTTGCCTGTAAAGAGTTTAAACAGACATGGAAGTAAAGCATTTACTGTAAATATACATCAAACTGTTTTATTGAACGTTGATGGAAGGATTAACTTAAGTAGAGTACACAACTTGTTTTTTTATAAACAGTTTCGCTGTTAATGATACCCTTTGCTTTATTTATGTTTATCGTTTGAATAAAACTACCATATAAATACTGTATAGTCCTTAAATTACCTACGGGCTCACAAGAGTACACGTAACAGTAACCCGAGAAATTATTGGGGGAAAGATTGAAGAGCATTAACGTCATCGCCAGTTTGACTAAAGGTTGTTCCGCTATAAGTTTTTTTCTCTCTCAAAGAGCCGTTTTAAGTTCTTGCACCTGCCAGGTGAGATCACGTATCATATACACACACCTTTATGAACAGATACATGTGCACACACCTGTTCGGCGAGAATTGGTATATATGTACCTACCTGTATGCTGAGAACAGGTACAGGTACACACACCTGCCTATAGAGGAACAGGTAAAACTTGCTAACGCAAAACTTACGTTAATTGAGTGTGTCACTGGCAGATCTTATTTAGAAATCAATTTGGCTTCTTTTTGACATATAGAAAAATTCAACTCCTCGTCTAAAAAACTGATCTGACTCAGCATTTAGCATACTCCTTACTAATGAAAACAGGTATACGAAACATCATATTTGACTGACATTCAGGTAAACTGTTTAATTAAAACATATTAAACATGTCAAATATGATTGAGAACATTATCTTGATGGACGAGGACCTGAACGATACCTCAGGTGGGCGTAAACACTGTGTTTGTATATACGGAATGTAGGTATATATACATATAAATCAATACCGAATTTGATAATAAATATGTTGAGGTCGATCGGTATTTAAACCTTTCTGTCTCACTATGGTTACGACCCAAAGTAAGACGCCAATCGATGTGTCTTTGAGTACTATTTTCTGACACACCTAAACTGTTTAGTTTTATAGGCAGTACTGTTTGACGGTGGTATATGCCAAAACTAGGACATACCACCTTATTTTCTCAAATTGTATCGATAAAGTAAATCAGGGCAAAATTGTTAAGTATATTACGTCCGTCAACTGTGACACAGGTAAATATAACATTTCACCAATCTGCACAAGAAAGCGACAATATGGACCGTTGCAGCCGGTTTATGTCAATTATCAGAAATCAATACAGTGTACTGTCTTAATTTTTTCTGCAAGAAATGGAAAGTAATTTCAATAAGATAAAAAGAACCAAGAATGTATGTACTGTACAGAGAGTTCGGTTAATGCCGGTTAATTTCTATAGTTAAATCCTCCATCAATACTGCTCATTATGGACGTTAAATTCGGTAGAGAAATTGTCATTATATAACATGTATGCCCTATTTACATTAGAAACCATTGAAATCATCTTAAATGGTGGCTCGCGTGAAGATAACTCTGTTATGAATTTATATCGGTCAAATATCTAGTTACAGTAAACTTACGTCACGGTCGACAAACAAAGCTATCTGTGGGGTTTGTCCACTAGATAAGAGAGTGGCTTTATGAGCTCAAAGGATTGTCCTGAATGGTCAGACATCCATGTAAAGTCTGTGACGATCACGGATAACCACTGGTGTAGGTGAACGTCCGAAGTTGTTTTCGGTGGGGTGTTTGACACCTGACAACGCCATCATACGTAATACCCTCATCCCTCGGTCATAAGTCATTTCCCCTATAGAATCAGGGGCGGGTCCAGGTGAGGGCGTAATGGGCGTACGCCCCCCCTTTTCAAACAAACAACAACAAAAAAACCCATCGTAATCTGCTAATATTGTATTGAATATGGCAATTTATCATATTCATTAATTAAACACATAAACACCCTGACACTTTAATTATAAAATATACAGCCTCCAAGTCAGGAACCGTTACATTAGTGCATTTCACAATTAATTTATGTTTTTAAACAACAAAAAAAGGTCCAAAAATGTCAGATTTGATTCTACGCCTCCTCTTTTAAAATATCCTAGAAACGCCCCTGAGAATGTGTTTACTATTCTACACCAGTAACACACGTACATAGAAAATAAAATAGGGACATAGAATTGCAATTAGGTAAACTATTTTCGAGGACACCCTGATTTGTAATGATATTACGTATTGTCCGCGGGCTATACATTTATTCCTTAAAAAATGCTCAATGCGGGCTATCTGATGAAGCGGGCAATGACGTTATTTTGTTTTTAAAAAGGTTTTGAAAATGTGAGCTGTGCGATATCTTTCAAATCAAAAATCGTTTACATTCCATGACAATGTTAACAAAAACACGGCAAAAGTTTAGAAATTCTGAGTACTTAATGGGATAAGAGGAGTCGCCATGTCTGTTAACGTCAGAAAACTGAACGACATAAAACAACTCAGAATTAAATCTAGTGAACGTTAACCGTTGTATTCGTTGCAATATAATAGCGTTAATGTAGCAGATAACCCGTGGACAATCTGCCGGGGCCGGCAATTCGCAGACTTCGTTTCCTAAAATAGGAAACACCTCAGGGGTGCGCGCGACATGACAAGCGGACAATACGTAAACAATTAAAGTGTTTTGCTTATTAGAAGATATTGATATTGAATTTTTACTGACAATGTGCCTGTATAGTGAACATTAGGCTACATTCAAGTTTAATAGTCAAGCAACCGTTTTGACTACAGGTATAAATGGTGTTCGAGACCCAGCAGTTAAGAATACCAAATGAATAGGGCCCGTAGTCATGAAACCATCATCATGCTCAAACTCCGACTTTGTGTTCGAGACATTTTTTTTTTATTCCGGTGATAAATTAATAAACAAAAATGCATTTTATGGTATGGAAGAGTTTTGGAGAGACTTTGGGTCGAATACCGTTTTCGATGTTTACACTTGATTGTTTAACCGTGTGACATGGTTTTATGCCAGTTACAGGGAAGAAGGCTGGAGCACACAACCCATTCTTGAGAGAGAAGTGAAAAATAAAACTTTATCTAGAGTTTAACAACAAGACAGAGAACAGAATATAGTTATCACCATTTCAAGCATTTTTAAGAATAGTTTTGAGATTCTTAACTACTAACAGTTTCCTTAAGGGACGTTTTCTGTTACCGATCGCTTCTCAATATGATGGTTTTAGCGTTTGGTGTAAACTCTGGCCTAAGGCACTTTTGAAAAATAAAAATATGTCGTTGGACTATGTTACTGTACATGTAAGCAATGAAATCTCTCGAAAACTAGTGGTTGTTCGTCATTGTACATGGGTTTTATAACCGACATCACCACAGGCGCCGATCATTGATATAGCTTACAATAGTTTACCTCAACTTTTATGGCAAATGTAAAGTAAAATACAATCTTTTATTATTATCGATAGACTTTTTAACGATAAAATATAAAACAAAAATTGGGCCAAAACAAGCATCCCTTTTTTTTCGTTTATTGAATAGAAAATAAAATATCGTCTATGATTAAAACTTCTATTTGTTGTCGTACATGTACCTTAATGTTTTTGACTTATTGATAAACAATCAATAATGAAGAGAGTTGTGCATCGAATTAGCCTGACCATACATAAAAAAACACTTATAATATATGTAACATGTTTGAAGCAAATTGAATTATTATATGGTAAAGATATTAATCACTAAAATACCTTAGTTGAGCGTTCGCCCCTGTGAGGAAGGCTTTTGGTACTGTCCCCTGGCCGAGACATACCAGAGTCTGTAAACATGGTAGTTTCTACTCCTGCTTAACGCACAGCAATTTAGGAGTGGGACGACTGGTTCGCCCGTTGTCAGTATAATGTGACCGGGTGAGGGGTCCTGCTGGGTGTCTTCAGCAGTATGTTTCAAGCGAGGTAGCACTATAAAGTCGGCATCAGTTCCGCGCTATCACAAGGAGACGAACATATCGCAGCCTCCCAAAACACACACGCATACACTACACGCATGCAGCTTGCACACAGGGGAGGCCGTCCTTAAATGACCATAGCTGTTGATGGACCGTTAAACAATACTAAACCAAAGCCTTAGAGTAAACAGTTTCCCTTTTTACATCAATCATACATGCTGTATATGGATAACTTTATCAGTCTGGCTCCTGTTTCATGACCGTTCATAACTTTGAATTATGAAAATTCTTGTGAAGCGTTTACCTTTCTCTGAAATGGTGAACTACGTAAGGCGGAAAAGGACATTCCGCGAAATTAAAAGTTACATATAATTCTTCTTCTTTTGCACTTCCTGCTATGGCAAATGGTTGTAAAATCTGCCAAAACTGATTTCGTGAATTTCACCATTGAAGCAAATCAAGGAAAAAAGGGCTACGAAAAAAGTATTGCCGTGAGTGAATTTAACATCACACCGTATTTGCATGATACTAATAAATATTTACGTTAGTATTTCATACTTTTAACTTGAAAAAAAAAGATATGGAACTTTTGTTAGTTTCTTGTTAGTTTTGTGGGTTTTATTTCAGCTTATGGTCCACGTTTATCGTGATAAAACATTCCTTTTGTTATCATTACAGGTATGCTGATAGGGGCTGGCGTAGGGATCTATCCTAATGGTTGGGACAGTTCCGAGGTTCAACAGGCCTGTGGCTACACGTCACAGCCCTATAACATGGGTAAGTATATCGTAGGAATCCACCAACCTTGTCCTGGAATTACGAACCGATTTCCACAACAACCTCCCACATTCGTTAGACCGAGTCAAAAATCGGGGTTCTTTAACCTTAGGAATGTTAACTAACGTTAGCAAAGTACAAAGTGTACATGTGAAATTGTGTAAATGGAGAGTCGATTTAATGGGTCACAGCCGCTTGCATTGGAGACACAATTTAGAGGCATTATAGAGACTCTTTGCATTCTGCTCCCATTGCATTCCATTGTATCTTGGCCTTGACCCTTTTCTTTCTCCTCTTTTAGTGCAGAGGACCGGGCAATGGAGACACAATGTGTAGAAAGTCGAGCCATTTCTTTTTTTTTTCTCGGTAATATAGCTAATATCGATGTAGGCAATAAATCAATCACGATCTTTACTCACGACATAATTTGTTTATAACCCATCCATTTCCCGAAAAGGTTATGATTCTTTTCTGAAGTATTAGTGAGCCTGTTAAACGACTTACGAAAAGTTCATACACGTCGCAAAGTTCTTAACATGCATTTGTATTCTGTTTAATAATCTGACCCGTAAGGTTGCTTTTATTTTTTGCACTCTATGAAATATGAACTAAAATAAAAAAAATAAAACAAAAATAGAAAGACAAATACAAAGTTTCCTGATACCCCAAACCCAATCCATTTATTTTTCTGACAATGAGGTAACCAGTTCTGTCTGATAGCTACCAGGTATTATTGGGCACCGGACGAAGTTTTAACTCAACAGTGAACGCAATAACAGGATACAGAGTAAAAACCCCTATTCTACAGAGGGACCCATGTTAGTCGTCTGTTACACGTGTACGTACTATCGTGCAATTTGAAAGAGTAGTAAGTCAAGACACTAAAATGCAGTTCGTTGGCCAGAAATTGTGTTAAATTGAAGTAGGCAATCACCATTAGGAAAGTAATAAAGCAGACCAATTTGACCTTTTGTTACAAAGATAGCTGTACAGCGGGAAATTGTTCCATTCTGACTTCATAAAACATAGCGTTGTCCAATCCTAGACCACCGACACAATCAACCAGGATCGATTTTCCAAATGTCCCACAAATCATCCTGGGCTTCCTACTGGAACGTCCGTGTAGATTAGGTAATGGCTCCGTAATACAGTTTGGCACCGATGGTTCAGCTCGCAAACATCGTCTGGCCCGGCCAGCACTTGGTAATACCGTCGTACATGTATACGGTCTTAGTTCGGGGTTTTCAGTAGATCGATATACGTACAGACTCCACACCCAGCCACCGTGTAACGGTCCACCATTTACCCACTAATCAGCCCAGTTTATTGTCGCAAAATGAACGCGTAACTCAGTATTCTATTGCAAAAACTGAGGGTTCAGTGTATGTTTATTTTTGAATTCATGAATATTGATACTTTGGTGATCGATCTTATTGTCTTCTGAGACAAAATTCATACGCCATTGCCTACTTTGAAAACACATACAATCGACCCTGATTTATTATTGCTTATATTATTTGTTTTTACAATTATAAATCCCAATAATGAGATTTCGCCTTTTTCACAGTTTTTATTCAGATAATTTTATTTCAAAAACAATCCGAAAATATTTTCGTCTGAATTCTTCATAAAATCAACTTATGCACAGTGAAAATTCCTCATGTTGTTTCACTTTTTGTCTTAGTATGCAAATTGAAAACAATAATCTTTCTCTTGACTCGTTGCCACTAAAAATACAAACATATGCATATATTGCATTGATTTATGAATATTTAAGTATTGTGGATGGAACTTAGTCATTTTTTAAGGTCGTATATTATCGCAGTTTTGAGCTGGAATTTTAAATAGCAAACGGAACAGGAGCGGAAATCTATACTTAAAACGTGTCCGAATATATTTATTTTGGCGAGAAATTCTATCATAAGTCAACCTTATTAGAGTTTAACATCGCCATAACACGACGCACGCATTGCTTACAGAAGGTCGGTACTATCTGATCAAACCGTATCAGTATACATAGAATTCGACATATTCTCCTTACCATTGTCTAAAACAAACCAAAACATCGAGAATATCAATCAGTTTTGTTTGACTAGAATTCCCAGTGTTGAGCAGAACACCAGTAATTTACAATCTGTTACTGGTATGAGCCAATCTGGTGGTGCTTCCGAGCAGAAACGTGGCTTCCTATCTGTGCCCGCTATCGGTACATACCATCCCTCGATACCGTGTATCTCCATCGGAGATACAGCGTCAACTTGGAATGCATTCAGTGGAGTTATCTGTGAAGATATTTCACCGAACTTCAAAGTCAAAGCATGAACAAGGCATGGCTTGCGGTTTATTCAAATATTGAAAGGATTGCAAAAAAACACAAGAATATTTTCCCCAAAAGATATGTCAGTCTGCGTTTTAAGTATCCCTGTGACATGAATGGTATGCAGCATGTAGCAATCTGACAGAGTTCAGTGCGCTCAGACACTTGTATTCCTGCTTGCATGTCTACAAACCATCAGGTCGTAACCCTCGTACGTTACTAGCTTAATACTAGTCACCTATGGGAATACTCGTATGTTACTAGGTACATGTAGGAATACTCGTATGTTACTAGGCACATGTAGGAATACTGGTATGTTACTAGGTACATGTAGGAATACTGGTATGTTACTAGGCACATGTAGAAATACTAGTATGTTACTAGACACCTATAGAAATACTCGTATGTTACTAGACACCTATATGAATACTCATATGTTACTAGGCACCTATAGAAATACTCATATGTTACTAGGCACCTATAGGAATACTCGTATGTTACTAGACACCTATAGGAATACTCGTATGTTACTAGGCACCTATAGAAATACTCTTATGTTACTAGGCACCTATAGAAATACTCGTATGTTACTAGACACCTATAGGAATACTCGTATGTTACTAGGCACATGTAGAAATACTCGTATGTTACTTGTCACCTATAGGACTACTCGTATGTTACTAGGCACCTATAGGAATACTCGTATGTTACTAGTCACCTATAGAAATACTAGTATGTTACTAGACACCTATAGGACTACTCGTATGTTACTAGACACCTATAGGAATACTCGTATGTTACTAGGCACCTATAGAAATACTCGTATGTTACTAGACACCTATAGAAATACTCGTATGTTACTAATCACCTGTAGGAATACTAGTATGTTACTAGACACCTATAGAAATACTCGTATGTTACTAGACACCTGCTTGGATGTTACTAGACAATTGTTAGGATACCGTTGTGTTATTAGGTTACAAGTAGGAAATCGAGTATGTTACTTTGTTGGGATACACGTTGTAAAATGGTTCCTGTAATGAACCTGTAGACTGGCAAACAGCCCCCAAGTTCTTATGAAGAATTTTTCATCTGCATTTCACTACTAGCTTATCTTCCCCTAGTTTAGAACTTAGGCTCTAGAATCAGACATCCTAGTGATCAAAATTGTTATAAGAGTTAATTTATTTTCCTAAATAATTATATATACATGTATATTTAATATTCTAGAGGACGGGGCCAGTCGAGGGAACCTAGTATGATCATAGGTACCTCTAAGTAAACTTAGTTCGAATATTTATTACCAAATGGAAAGACTAACACGGAGATCCTTGAAAAAGAGCAAGCGAATAAGTCTATTGATTATGGAGTTCGTAAAATTCTTCTGCTGTATCGACAAAACCAGTCATGTTAGCCTAGGTTAAATTATAGTAATGTCAAGTCCTCAAAATGAGAACCACGGTAGCGACAACAAAACCATAGTAATGAGCATGATAACAATGGGTATATTTATATCGCTCAAGGATATACAATAATTTTCAATCATACCAACCATAGTAATTGCCCCTTGTCTTTATCAACCAGCATCTGTAACAATATAACTTGCATTTATTATGACAATCGTGATATTCCGAGCAAGCCAGTGAATATTGAACCAACTACGACGTGTGAAGAGCTGAAGTGCGGAAAATGTAAAGTTACTACCAATAAAGAGAAGGTTCATTACAGGAAAATCAAATACAGATTGGTGTCTTTGATTAAAATTCGGGGGGCATATTTCGTTATGAAAAGATAACAAGTTATCGGTTTATCTGAAATTGAAATTGAAGGATTCTTATAAAGCAATCGATGGATTTGGCTGCATATAAAAACAAAAAGTCGGCCAAGGAAAGAACATGATCTGTCCCCCTGGGTATATGCCAACAGTCTGCTGGAAAATTCTACTACAAACCCAACAATAATGTCAACCAGGAATTGAATCATTCAGACGAGTGCATCATCACTATATAATAATCAGATAAATCTTGATGTTTTAAGTATAGTTTTGATACCTCATACGTCGCATAAAGTACGATAACTAATATCAGAAAAATATCGCCCTTACCTCTCCCCAAGCATCCTCTCATGCACACCTATTCCACTGTTATCACATACCCAATGCTCTGTATGTTTTAATGAACTGTAAGATACGATCTCTGTGTGTTCTCTGATGCAAAAGAGGACCTAAATCTGACCCCGAGCCAGGGATTAGTAACACATTAACGGTTTACTAATGTCAAAGATTGGTTAGATTCTTATAATAAACAGCGGCTAGTGGTATAAGCTGACAATACCATGTTAGCTTCTTGTAATATACAACAGCTAGTGATGTAAGCTGACAATACCATGACATCTGACGCTGGTTTAGGTACGTCCGATAGGTTTGGCTGGTTTATGATGATATGCCTATCATTTTTAATTATTATGTATTTTACCTTATCACTATCGCGTGCAAGTTTATCTTTTAGCAAAGCGATTTACAAGACGTGTTCTGTGGTGCTATCCCCGGTCGACAGTGTATATGTGAGCTGTAGACTTCATGGAGAGATAAAACTGTGTTGTTACGCTAGGATAAAGAATAGCTACATAAAAACATATAAAAAACGTTTGATATATCTGGAGAAAAAAACCCGCATCAATCTCAGAAACTGTAGCTATTTTGGCAAAGTCGTAAGAAAGGTCTGTTTATTTTTATAAGAATCTCAAATATTCTTTTCCGTTTTCAAATTATTAGACACAGTAAGAGTAATTTCAGCAAATGTAATGACAATATTCTAACCTTATCCTACCGAATCTGTGAGTGCAACAGTAATATTTAAATAATAATTTCTGATAGGATACATTCTAAATAAATTTGAAATAATTAAGGTATGTCGTAGTTTGCATCGCGTTTCAAATTATTGTACATGTCCATATTGATGCGACAAAATAATTGATTGAAGCTTTATTCAGTATCTCTCGATTTCTGTTTTAGGGGACTGTACTCTATTCTGGTCTTTCTACCTGACAGCAGCTGGCGCTGCAGTCACCTTGATCGGTTCAGCAATGTCCTGTCACGCCAGCAAACGCAAGTTCGGCCACGCCTCTTATGCAGATATGTGATGACATCGGTCTTAAACGAAACTGCAACGCATCATTCAAATGTTGACGAATTATTCACAGCGTTGCATAGTGATCAATCAACTCTCTCGTATGCAATCGATGGGCCGCTAAGAGAACAAGCAATGTGATCTCCACTATGCCCGATAATGATTGAATTTTACCTGCAATTTGAAACAATTTCCGATACATTTTCAACAATGTTTCGATATTATAATAGCATATACGAGTACTATCGGTATGCCACTGTCGTATGTAGACAAAACCTGATACTTGACGGAAGTATCCGGCTGTTCCACGCATGCGCCCTCCGCAATATAGGCAAAACGTGTTTTACGAAAATGACAGAATCTCATCAGTGTGTCCAAAGTGTGACGGGAGACCATTTTGGAACCATGTTCGCGACGCGATAGTTGTGCGTATACGATTGGATTAATTACATCGAGGTGTACAAACCAATCTTCTCGCTTCCATTAAAGAAACGGATCGATTAGGTTCTGTAAAAATGATAACCTTTATGTGCGCTGTCATTATGGTCACTTTTCTCATTATTCCGTTGAAATGATTACTTGGTGCTAATATGTGTTTCTATAATATCATCAGCGAGCCGTGTTAACAAGCTGCATACGACATTCTCTGGGAGGCGAGAAGCATTAAGCGGAAATCCGTCAAGAACACTGTAATATGAGGCAACACCGCGTCAGAATTACCGATCAAGACGATTCGGTACAAGGAAATCGATTTTCCCTCGTTTGGGAAAATTAGCATCTATAACGTTTAATTACATGTCTGGGTTGTGAAAGATTGGAGTCCATTTTCTCTTTGTTTGTTCGCCCCAAACATTGATTACACCTTCTGTGATGCTAGTTTCTGATATGCCGGCAAAGGCTCTGGTTGAATCATCTAACATTGAAATTAAGTGTTTGACATGTCAGTAAAGGCCAGAGGTCAAAGTGAAGGTCAGCTCCCTATTTAAGATCAACTGAAGGTGAGGGGTCACAGCGCAGTGCATGTCACTTAGCATGAGACTTAACTGTGTAAGGGTCGAGGAAAAGCCAAGACACTCGGGTAACCTACTAGAGAACAAGTGAGGGCTAGGGATCAATGTGAATATCAGAAAGAGACGCGTTATAGTGTAATGTACGGCAGTGTGAACGGCTAGAGAGAGTTGTGCTATTAACGGAAAAAAATTATTAGTTGACTGGGAGATTTCCCCTGTGAGATGTCCTTGAAGATTACCGTTTTATGTCCATGTTCGATACTATCTGTAGCCAAAGGCTTGACGAATGGATGCTACCAGATTGTATTTCACCGAGGAAAAAAGTTATAGATACGTTGCGATAAAAGTAATGCAGCGGCTTGCTAGGAAGAGGAAGTGCTGTGTGAGAAGAGACTAATAGGTGGGCGACAAAAGGAATGGATGAAGAATTTGACATATTACATTGCGCACGTGCGATGAATATATAGCGTGCGATTGTTCTGATCGATGCTCGTCTGCTTTTTGGTAAATTACACTGTATGTGATCTGACAACTTTCGTCTTCAAATGTAATTTGAACAAAATGGATTCTAAATTATTCAAAACACAAAGACAACATGTCGCATTGGATCCTTGTTATATCCACCGACGGGGTGTCAAGTTACGTCGGGAGAAAATTAAACTTGTTCGCATTTACTAGCCCTCTGAAGTCTTAGTCGGCTGTTTGTTAATTCATCCCGCCAGTCGTTGTTAGATTGGCATTCATGATTAAGGAGCCAGCCCTGTGTTGTAGATTGATCCCGAGTCAAGTTCCGTAATTGTCAATTATCCCATACGTAATACGTTGTATTTAATAGCTTTCAATTCGAACGAGTGCGCACGAAACAGTTAATGACTAAGTTTAGCGTACATTTCACTTTTTATCCAAGTAAATGTTATTTAAATATTTTGTTACGACATTAGACAACTTAATTGTATTTAAATGTGACGGGGTTCTATTTTAACTCAATGTGTCAGACTACCACAGTCAAATTCGAGTGATTTATGACTGATACAGAGAAAGCATGCATTCGTGTCCGGTCTATATAGTAAGGCATTGTGACACGTCGATACAGCTCTTTGTGCATATGGGTTTAAGATCTAGGCGAACAGTAAGGGGGAAACTATTGGTTGTCTCGTTTGGGATTAAAATGTGTTTGAAAAGTGCTTAAAGTAATTCTTTGAGAGTAACGTCTGTGTGTATAGAGATACAAGGTTTACCAGAAAAAATATAGGATTTTCTGATGAAAAAATATATTATGTCTGAAGGTGAAAAAGGAACTTTTTTTTATATATTATAGTATTTTATAAATTCAATATATGTTTTGTTTACTGCCCAGTTACATGGATATTCGTGGGTGAATATTATTAATATTAAAAACGAATTATCCCCACCAATAATCCAGGTTTTAACTCATTCACACCTGAAGATACATTAGAACTCTTCCAATTCAAAGGTTGGAATGGTTCATTAGGACTTTTATGGGGTGGTTGAGCTGAAATAGATATGTGTAACATAGTGCGACAGTTTAGTGACCAGAATGCAGTATGTCAGATGAAATATGTGTGCGTTTATATTTATACTGTAAAAGGTTTTTGTAAGGTAATCATGCATCTAACACTATACTTGAAAACAAGGTGGGGTATATCTTAAATGTTGGAAAGAATTGTTGTACGTGAAATCTTGGATTTCAAATAATTTTGTAGAAATTGTCAACAAAATATCAAAACCTATTAAAATATTTGGTTGAAAGACTTTTCAGTGCTCGATATGACTAGAGTTTCCCCAGACACTGCTTGTTTACGGTGAAGTTGTTTACAACGTGAAGGTGTTTTATTCTGCAGTTTCTGATGACACGCCGTTAAGTTATAAATAAGCTTTAATGAGACCTGAGCACGCAAGACATGCAGGCGTCGTCTTGAAATCGATACTTGTGCAATATTTAAGCTATTAAGTCGATATTTTAGACTATGAAGATGCAACACGGAGCCCGAGTCGTGCAGATCCGAGCGAGATGTAGAGAACCTGATGAGTGTGAGATTAATGTGGATGGTCTGGACTCATTTGTATGGAATTTTTGCTATTGTAATGATATATTCAGTCTTAAGTTTTTTACAATATAATTTCTACGTATTTTTATCATATTTTGTATTACTTTGAACATTTTACGTCTCAAAATCCAGAAATTGTAAGTGTTAATTAAGTGGGAGATCCAACGTCGGTGCAAAGAGTACGTGTTACCCATCTGGGCCCAGTTGTTTAAAAAATGATTAGCTTAATCACTGTTTGATGACATTTTTCAACTTTTAATAATTGCCTCAATAATCAAGATACAGTCTCACAATTTCGCATGTAAATTCACTCTACTAAATATTTGATATCAAGAAAGTTGTACCTCATTCAATAGTTTTGTTTTAAAGTTACAGAAAAATCAAAATTTGTGCTAATCACTGATTAAGCTAATCACCTTTTGAACAACTGGGCCCAGACGTGTTCGGTTGTAGGTCCGGATTCATTCGGGAAACTCCATGTTTTCTTTTGTTTGTGTTATTCTGGTGGTTACGTGTTAAGTTATCTTTGATCATAGCAACGAACACACACGATTTAGTTCCACGTTTCATTGTCATTATACTAACAAAGCTTCATAAAACGAGTCCTGGGTTATTATTAAATAGGTTATATTGTATGAATGTTCAAGTCTGGTTAACTTCGTAGTTCATGTAGTGGTGCCAGGGAGCTATGTGTTTTTGTCTTGACTAAGCCCTGTATTGTACAATGAAAACCATCAATCTAGGTGTGAAAAGGAGGTGTACGTATTTGCATTTACCAGACAAAACTGAAGTGAAATGAAAAAGGAAGGTCATCACCTGCAGCGTCATGAAAGTTTTGAGAATTCAAAACAATTAAATGTTGTTTCTACGAAAATGCGTGATTTGTTTTAGTTTTTCAGAATGTATAATAAAATCCATGTATTGCAAGACAATTTCGGAGGAAAGGAAAGTTATGAGTTTAAGTAGTTAAACACTGTTTGGTATTGCAACACTGTATCATTGTTGCAGTAAGAAATCAAATGTCCAAAAAATAACCCTTTTATCATTTCTACATCGACAGTTGAAAGGTAAGTCATTGCAACAACCTAGTCCCGATGCAATTTACCAACACCAATTATAGTCAACTCCATCTTACCAATACAAGTATCAATGAGAATTAAATCTACCTTACCAATACAAGTATCGATGAGAATCAAATCTACCTTACCAATACAAGTATCGATGAGAATTAAATCTACCTTACCAATACAAGTATCTATGAGAATCAAATCTACCTTAACAACACCAATTATAGTCAACTCCATCTTACAAATACAAGTATCAATGAGAATCTAATCTACCTTACCAATACAAGCATCAATGAGAATCAAATCTACCTTACCAATACCAGTATCAATGAGAATCAAATCTGCCTTTCCACCACCAATTATAGTCAACTCCGTCTTACCAATACAAGTACCAATGAGAATCAAATCTCCCTTCCCAACACCAATTATAGTCAACTCCATCTTACAAATACAAGTATCAATGAGAATCTAATCTACCTTACCAATACAAGAATCAATGAGAATCAAATCTACCATACCAATACAAGTATCAATGAGAATCAAATCGACTTTACCAATACAAGTATCAATTATAGTCAACTCCATCATACCAATACAAGTATCAAGGAGAATCAAATCTACCTTACCAATACAAGAATCAATGAGAATCAAATCTACCTTACCAATACAAGTATAAATGAGAATCAAATCTACTTTACCAATACAAGTAGCAATGAAAATCAAATCTACTTTACCAATAAAAGTATCAATGAGAATCAAATCTACTTTACCAATACAAGTAGCAATGAGAATCAAATCTACTTTACCAATACAAGTATCAATGCGAATCAAATCCATCTTACCAATACAAGTATCAATGAGAATCAAATCTACCTTACCAGTACCATTATCGATAGAAGTCAACCACACTTTACAAATACAAGTAGCAATGAAAATCAAATCTACTTTACTAATACAAGTATCAATGAGAATCAAATCGACTTTACCAATACAAGTATCGATGAGAATCAAATCTACTATACCAATACAAGTATCAAGGAGAATCAAATCTACCTTACCAATACAAGTATCATTGAGAATCAAATCTACCTTACCAGTACCATTATCGATAGAAGTCAACCACACCTTACAAATACAAGTATTACCAATAACCAACCACACCTTACATATACAAGTATAACCCAATAACCAACCACACCTTACAAATACAAGTATTACCAATAACCAACCACACCTTACAAAAACAAGTATAAATAATAGCCAACCACATCTTACAAGATTAATACAAGTAAGAATAATACTCAACCCCATCTTACCAGTACAAGTATCAATTATAGTCAACTCCATCATACCAATACAAGTATCAATGATAGTCAACACCACTTACAAATACAAGTATCAATAAAAGTCAACACCACTTACCAATACAATTATCAATAATAGTCAACACCGCTTACCAGTACAAGTATGAATAATAGTCAACACCACTTTCCAGTACAAGTATCAATTATAGACAACTCCATCATACCAATACAAGTATCATTGAGAATCAAATCTTCCTTACCAGTACCATTATCGTTAGAAGTCAACCACACCTTAAAAATACAAGTATTACCAATTACCAACCACACCTTACATATACAAGTATAACCCAATACCCAACCACACCTTACAAATACAAGTATCAATAAAAGTCAACACCACTTACCCGTACAAGTATCAATAATACTCAACACCACTTACGAATACAAGTATCAATAATAGTCGACACCACTTACCAGTACAAGTATGAATAATAGTCAACACCACTTACAAATACAAGTATCAATAAAAGTCAACACCACTTACCAGTACGAGTATCAATAATAGTCAACCCCACTTACCAATACAAGAATCAATAATACTCAACACCACTTACGAATACAAGTATCAATAATAGTCAACCCCACTTACCAATACAAGAATCAATAATACTCAACACCACTTACCAATACAAGTATCAATAACTGTAAGTAAGTATTATACTAGT